CTTCACCTACTTCGGTTTAGGTAACTGGATAGTATCACTAGTCCTGACACTTAGAGCGTGGCTAGAAGCTGAGTATATAAATATGAACTAAATATGTTTTCAGACACAAATGTGTTTGCGAAGTTTAATGAAAATACCCAGCTGCTTAAATCAAATAAAGATGGAAGGATTCGACCTCGCAGCTAGTGATTATAAAATATCATTATTTTATATGAAAAAGCATAGACCTACGCAATAGGAAATACCATCTATTGAACTTCTGTAAACTAACTATATAACGAAAGATTGTGAAAAGGAACTTATTGAAAACAGATATTCTTTGTTTTTTTTTTACTTATCGAGGATAATTTAATGTTAGTGATGTGTTCTCTAAGCCAGATGATTTAATTTTGAGGTTTCTAGAAATTAGCTAGCATTTGTGGAGCTTACCCTGGTTCAGAGGTTCAACGTTTCTCCAATTGAATTCATATCCATGTTCGTCTGAATGCTTTGGTATAGTTCCTTAGTTAGCAAATCTAAGTTATGTTCAGGATGATGAACAAATTTATAAGTGATCAGAACCATAAATTGGTACAAAAACATGATAATATGCATATATTCGAAAATCTCAAGTTTCGATCAAGCAAAGTTAAAAGTGAAGATTAGAACTACTGTGAATTGCTAATGTCTGTATTTAATAGTGAAAGGCATTGTGGTTTAAACTCTGCACTCGTTGACAAGTATTTTGAACAGCCACGTGTATAACGAATTCTCAAGTAAAAATGTCCACAAATGGTAGCAATTTTACATTGCCTTTGGAAAGTATCACGACCAAAAACTTTTCGTGTGATGTTTGTCAGTGTAGGAGAAGGTGGTGACAGAAAATTGGCAGAAACCAAACTAGAACGTAGCACAAGTCCATGAATCCTTCGACTGATGGACTGGGCTGCGTTGGTAGGTGTAGACTACATTGTTGTCATCCTCCGAGTTATCGTAACCAATAGTTGAAAATGTTGGGTAACATAGCTTACAATTGGTCACAGTAGTACCGATACATTTACTTTAACTTATATTCGGTTTATTTCGCGAATTCACTCTTTCTTTTTAAAACATATTGTCTACGTTTAATTATTTTTACCACTGCTGATATCGTTGCTAGTTCTACTACTCTGGTATCTGTATTGATGATTTTATCCTTCTATTTGTGTTGACAATGTACATATATCCTGTGGACTATTAATTTGGTTGTATAGTTGTCACTTTTTCTTTGACAATTTATCATGCTTATTTCCTGTTTATATATATTTTACTACACAAGGAATTTATTCATCTGTCCAGTAGTCTTGTCTTTAACTTTTAATCATTTGACAGTTTGATACGGTCTCATAAGCAACTATTACTCGGCAACACTTTACATGTCATCGCTTTCATCTATTGATCAATATTCTATTCATTGATCATAACAACCAAAGATTTTGTCTCATCAATCAATGAAAACTCCCACCATAACATTATAATCCCCTTACCCTCATATATATATAGCCGTTTGGAGTGCTGTTACATGTTTCGTTGCCTTACTTTCTAGCTAGAACTGGATTTCTCAACTTATAAAGTAAAATTCAAATTTTACAAATATTTTAATATATTATTGCTTTATATAATCAAATGCAAAATACTGTGCATTTTTCTTAATCTGCTTAAATGATGATAAGTCCCAAAATGCACTGGTATGGTCGAGGGTGAGGAGTCCACTCTTCCTCTCAAAATGCTCTCACATATACAGCTACTGCCAGCCAGGTCCTCCTTACTGCTTTCTCGTGATGTGGTTGTTTACGAAATTGAGGGAACAAATTCGTCACCGGTTACCATGGGACATTGTTCCAATGCCTTTAGACCGATAGATTAAATGCTCGAAATGTGGCCACCTAAGAAAGCCACATGCTTCGGCTTGGTCTCCCAAGCAGTATTCTAGCCCCCATACAAATTGAATTGTGAAGTGTGTCGCATATATATTTGGTGCCTTCTTGTATCAATGTTTATGTGTTTAAATAAATTAATAATAAGAAGCTATGAAGAAAAAGTAGGGAATCTTGACAATTTAATGTTAATTATGCAACTAAAATCAACAAATTTAATAATATTGTAGGACAAGAGAACAAGTGAATTATACTTTGATTAATTCACAATAAATTACTTATAATCACATTAAGAACAACAATAAAACAACAACCAGGTGAATATAAAACTAGTTAGTGTGTTTAAATGTAAATCTCATGACAAAATTTTTGTCAATCAGTTAGTTACAACGTAGGACCAGGCACATACATGCATCGGTCCAAGTTGCTGACAATATTTAATGATGCAAATTATATTTAATATAGAAGAATATAGTATGCAATGAAACATTTCTTTAACAATAAAACTCAATCAAAATTATTCACTTTATAATTAAATATTCATACATATTGACTGAATAAATCAAAAGAGTAAACCATTTTATTGCTACTAGTTTGTTTATTTCTTTTTGAAATTGTAAACAACTTCCAATCGATTTATATTCAGAGAAGTGTAGATTACAAAAACCTGTACTACATAAGAAAGATCAGGAAAATTAGTTTACGTGCTTAGTTAACCTTTTTTTCTTTGTGGAATAATTCATCTCTAGTACTACTTTAGTTAAAGGACAAGTATACAGAGTAACATTTCGTTCCGTTTTACTTTACGGCTGGGAAACGGGACTATTAAGGGTAGAGGATACTCGTAAGTTACTAGTATTTGATCACAGATATCTTGAAAATACTGCCAGAATCTGCTGGGTAAGTAATAGTGGAATTGAACACAGGGTATTAGGGAATGATGATAAATCAGTTGATGAGGTTGTGAATCTTTATTGATTGAGATGGTCGAGTCACATATTACGCATGCCCAATCACAAACTATCACGGCACGCAATGATGGCTAGTGTTGGAAACGGATGGAAGAAAGATAGAAGAGGCCAAACCAAAACGTGGTATCAATTTATAAAGTCACTAACTTCTGATCTGAGCCATGTTGGTAGATGCAGACTACTTGCTTAGAGTCCTCGCGACTATAGTAACCAATGGTTGGAGACTGCGTGACAGCTTAGAATCGATCACTAGGGTGTAGGTGTATACACTATTTGTCTTCCTTTAAATCATGAGATTAAAATTACTTGATACCTTTTTTTATACGAACTAATTCTTTCACCCTGTATCATATCCTTATATGAAATGTTTTTTTACTACCATTGAAGTAACTGCTTCTATGAATTTGGTGTTCCTCTTGTTGTGTGGCAACTTGGACCGATGCATATATGTGCCTGGTCCTAAGTTGTAGATGACTGACTGACTGAGTACTTCTTCAACCTTATGCACAAAATCTATTTTATGATTTTTGAGAGAGCAAGCGATGTAAAATTCACTCTTTCATATTTGTAAAACGTTCTGCAAGAATCAGATATACATGCTATTCCATAGTGTTTATTAACAATAATCTACAGGATGGGCTTGTGCTGTTCAGACTGCATAAAGCCTGGATGATGTCTAATTTCACAGAAAATTAATGTAAAACTCATCCGTTCCTGGATATATATTTAAGTGTGAAGTGAAGTGGTAGATCAGTAGTTAAGCCGTTCAACTTTTTTTTTACCAAGATGTTGGTTCACACCTTACTTATTTTATTTTATTTTAACACATAGACATTGGTACAAGGAGGCACCAAATACATATGCGCCACACAAATCTCATTCGATGTGTGAGGGCTGTGATACTGCCCGGGTGCCCAGACCGAAGCAGGTGGTTTTCTTAGGGGGCCACTCCCCGAGCCTTCGACCTGGAGGTCTGATCCACAAGGCAGTGGAGCATCGTGAGGAGATGCAGTCCCATGGAAGCCGGTGACCAACAATTGGTTCATACGCCATTTGTTCCCGCAGGATACTGGAGCCCATGTGCACCAATGGTTTGGAATCCGGTTAAAGCGCCGAACATTCGCTTTCCGTCCTCTCATTTTCGTAAACAACACCCCCGCCACGAGAAGGCAGTGAGTAGGACTTCCCTGGCAGAGGCTATATACGCGTGGCTATGTGAGAGCATTTCGAGAGGGAGAGCGGACTCTCCCCACTCTCGGCCGTACCAGGGCATTTGGGGGCTCACAACTTACTACACTTACCTCAATTTTGCTAACCGGGTAGTTATTACTAACTCTTACATTTATAATACTAAAGTATGGCTCAAAGTCAAGTACACAAATTTTTACCTATTAAGTGAGTGTTTCTGTCTTATTTTTTAACTCAATGTGTATTGGTTTGGATTATCCTGTTGTTGATATTTTGAATGAAAATTGATCAGTCTTGGTCGGTACACGTGTACCCTGTGAGGATTGCTTCCATAATAGAGCTACTATGCAGAATATGAACTTGCATCGTAACAGGATATACATATGCATATATGTTCTTGGTCCTAAGTGGTAGCTGACTGACCGACTTCATCCTTCCAAACCTTATTCTCAGTATTCAGTTTTTCTCATTATCATAGTTGCTACATTATTTCTACTCTTTTGTTATTCATCTTATCATGCTGAAGTGGTATGCTTAATATATATTTGTGCCAGACTGTGCGTTATTGATCAAATATCAACTGAATAGATTTTCGAAGAATCTATGAAGTTCAATTAACAAGAAAGCCTCTATGTCATTACAGATTTATTTTTCAGTTATAGACCTTTTGATTAGGATGTACAGTCACCATTTATTGTAGAATAATCAATTTGAATATATATCCCAAGAAAAATGTCGCCATACAGCTCAGAATTCGTATTTCACGTTGCAGTTTAAGACGGACTAAAACTAATTTACAGTGGAATATCCTATTATACAAAAATGTACTGTTTATAAATTCGTCGATACTCATGTTTTCTCTTTCAAGCTTATTCATTATCCATGTACAATATATGATTGAGAATGTCGAGTGACATGATCCGAAATCATTTATATAGGTATAGATCTACTTTCCAATAAATCCTAAGTTGGATGTCATTTCAAAATGCTCATTTTTCTATCTTCCAAAATAGATTTTTCATACAGTTTTCTCTTGCAGGTGATATTATTTCATATCTCTTGCTCGGCATTTTGTTAATTTTATCTTTCGTTGTGCTAATGTTAGGTTTCACAATTAGAACTTATATACATTTGTGCATGGTTCTAAGCTGACAGTGTAGTAAGTAGTCAAAAATAACAAATTGTATACGTAAAAACCAACCTGAACAACTTTATGATCCGATAGTGCTCGAACTAGCTTAACTCCTGTGTCATCTCCTTCACGACCAAGTTGTCCATTGGAGTTGCAGCCCCAAGTAAATAAAAGTCCATTATAAGTAATGGCAGCATTATGGTATGCTCCACAAGCTACGCTTATTATTCTGTAGTGTTCTAAAGCAACTACCTGAAGACGAAGCAAAAAATCAAAATACAATCAAAATATTATTTAGTCTTGATATGTAAGAATAACCTATTGTAAGCAAGGTAAACTAATTTACCTCCATAACATAAGTGTAACAATCTATTGGTTTTAACATTACATTAACCAGGCTAATAAGTGTCAATTATTAACATATATGGGATCAACATTTACAGTGCCTCATAGCATATATCTCAAAGGACTAAACAGATATTTATCCACACTAATAGTATTAAAGCAATATGTGATGTACGATAAGCATATTCTTCTGATTTTACGGACTCGGTCCAAGCTTATAAACAGTATTTAAGAGTAAAAGGTCATTAATAAATTTTTGGTGAAAAAATCTAGTAATTATAGAAAAAAATCAAATGAGGATCAAACTGTTTATCGTACTTTTTCATGAATATGATTTTAAACCAGTAAAAAAAAGCGGTATATCAAACATATTCACCTAAAACTAAGTAATCTATGCACGGTGTATGAAGCATTTTAATTTACTACTCATCAACTAAAAATAACTTAAAAAATAATAACAAATATCAAAAAAGTACATGAACATACTTTTGCTAACTGACCACCAGCTTGTCCGTGACCTAACTGCTGAAACTCATTGCACCCACAGCTGTATACTTCCCCATCAACAGTTAGAAAGACTGTATGTGCGTATCCACAAGTGATTTGTATAAATGTTGGTAGATTCCGGACATCTAATGCTTTTGGGATAAGAATCTGATAGGCATCATTTTTATCTAAAGTTAGTTGTCCTTCTTCGCACGAACCCCAAGCGAACAATTCCTCTGTTGATGAAGAAACCATCAACTCGTCTTTACTCTGAAATTGAGTTTTTTAGATCAATCGTTGATAAAACAAAAAGATCAAATAAAACTTCTTAATACAAATCTATTTTTAGGAGGCAGCGATGGAGAGTGTTAAAATACGTTCAGTAGAGAGACAGTGCAACGAAGGGTATAAATTAGGTTTGGAAAGGTTAGTACCTTTCATGCACTAATAAAGGTATCTATGGTACAATAATAACGTCTACATGAACACACCTAAAGGGTGGAAAAGCAATCATATTGCTTTTTTATGTTGTGAAACAACAATCTCGGTTATCTAATAGATATAATAGAAAAAGAATTCAAGGTTTTAAAGTTAAATATACATAATTGATTGATGCAGAAATCTACTGCATTCCGAGAAATGCGACAAAAACAATATCAGCTTACAATCTACTATTTCAACTAACACCAAATGCTCTGGTACAGTTGAAGGTGAGAAGAGTCCGCTCTTCCTCCCAAAATGCTCTCACATGGCCACACGTATACAGCTACTGCATCAGATGTCTTACTCATTGCTTTCTCGTTGCGACGGTATTGTTTATGTTATTGGGAGGAAGAAAAGTGAATGTTCGGTGCTTTAACTGGGTTGGTGGATACAGAAGATACATCTAATGGAGTTGGAAAACCCTGATACCAAAATAATGGTGCATATGGACCCCAGGATTCTGAGGGGACAAATGGCGTATGAACCTATTATTGGTCTCTGGCTACTATAGGACTACATCTCTTAACGTTGCTCCACTATCTTTAGACCTATATATCAAAGGCTTGGACTGTGACCCCCACCTGCTACGATTCGAGCACCCGGGCAGTATACCAACTCTCACACAAATTAAATGATGATTACTATTGGAAAAATTATTTCCACTTCAATTTGCATACAGAAAAAACACATTCACAATCATTTGATAACATTCAATTTTATTTCTTTTGTACAACGTCACTTATGTGCTCTCTTTTATTCGTATTTTATCTGTTAACTTATACGGTAGCCCATTTATACTGGAAACCCTGTTCTATCTAAACGATCTTAAGTAACTGACAGGTCGAATTTTGAATGCTACTAGCGACTGTGAATGCTGAACCAGACTTTCTGAAACCACGTATACTACTCAAATTAGCCTCCTTCAACATCCACATACTAATGCAGGTCGGACAACAGATAGGGTTGTCTATGTCTTTAGAAAGTTTCAACATCAATGTCTGTTGTCTATCCGGGACCCGTATTCGAGGTTCTAGTGAAGCACTACAAACTTGCTCTTCATCTGTCACTTCGGAAAGCTTGTTCCACGTGCGTTTATCCGGGGAACCCAGTGGCATATGAGTTTGATTTTGCTGGCGTTGACGTTTCCCATAGCGCTAGAGCTAAAGCAGCACTGATCGATCGTATCCCTATTAACAGTCGGTTATGTGCTGTTAGATTAGAAAGCTCCATCAAAGCTAGAAGAAATTGGTGTGAGAAACGATGTTATCGTTACTTTCGTCTACACCAACAGGTTGCAGCCCGTATGCGACCAAGGATGAGATTTACCACCAGTTAAGTGTTCTATGGAAAGTGCGTTCGACGCATATTGTAGTACTAGCCGGATACTTGAATGCTTATGGCGGGCATCTTGGTACAGAGCAGTCATTTAGGTGTTCGATGGGGACTTGTTGATCTCATGTCAGATAACGGTGACTGGAACATAGTGCAGACTACAACTTGTTTCTGGCTAGCACTAATTGCCAGCAGTCATCGCCTATGTGTCATCTGGTGTCCTCCCTCTGCATCCCGAAAATGGACTCGGAGTGATCATATCGTGATCGGTTACCGCTTGCATGGTTTTGTAAAAGACTACTACCCTCTTTTAGAGCGCCTATCTGGACCCTGGTCACGCCCTTGTTTGAAATAGTCTTATACTACGTTTCAGTGGGCGACAAATTCATTTCTATAAACGGAATTATGTCAGCAAATTGGTTGTAGTTTCTGTTGCAACTAAATATCAAACCGAGCTAGGTTCAAGACTAGCCACCATCCCAACAAAAAATACAAATGAGCATTGGTTGCAGATGCACGACGCCATGAAAATGACGACTAAAATCGCTCGCAGTTTCGCGAAACATCCCGCTTATAGGCAGTTGGTTTCTGCACACTCCTTATAACTCATTGAACCACATAGGTCTACCCCGGGTGACTTTGAATTGAACCATAAACGAAGATTGTTATAAAGATGGTAGTGACTTTCTGGTTAAGAAACTGACAGTTGTTTACAAACGTCTGGCAGTTAAAGTCTTCCAACATCATAAAATGAGTCGATGGTTGGTCCCATCTTTAAAATAGATTCACGTCGTTTCTGTAACAACTATCGGGGGATAAGTCTACTTCCGATTGCATCCAAACAATTGGTTTCCATCATACTTCATAGATTGTACAGAACCCCAGGAAGATTGACCCACTAGGAGCAAGCCGGTTTTCGTTCTGGCCGAGGATGTATCGGCCATATGTTCACCCTCCCCCAAATATCAGAACACTGTCATTGCCAATCTATGATGAGGTCTAGAGTGGAATGTCAACATTCAATGCTGTATTACACGTTTATTACTATACTTACAATTACCACTTCACATCTATTGGACGTAGACCAATTAATTTTCACATACTTAAATATCCATCCATAATCCGACTGTTCACAATTCATAGCCTGTGCAGACTTTTCCTTATTATTTATTTGTTTGAACATATAGATACTGGTACAAGGGGGCACCAAATACATATGCGCCACACAAATCTCATTAGATTTGTGTGAGGCCTGTGATATTTCCCGGGTGCCCAAACCGAAGAAGGTGGTTTTCTTAGGGGGCCTAAAGGTCTGATCCACAAGGCAGTGTAGCATCTTAAGGAGATGCAGTCCCATGGTAGCCGGTAACCAACGATTGGTTTATACCACATTTGTTCCTTCAGAACACTGGAGCCCATGAGCACTATTGGTTTGGAATCAGGGTTCTCCAACTCCCCTAGGTGGACTCTCCGTGTCCACCTACCCAGTTAAATCGATGGACGTTCGCTTTCCGTCCTCTCAATTTTGTAAACAACACCCCTGGTGAGAGAAGGCAGTGAGTAGGACTTCCCTGGCAGAGGCTATATACGCGTAGCCATTTGAAAGCATTTTGAGGGGGAGAGAGAACCCTCCCCACTCTCGACCGTACCAGGGCATTTGGGGGCACTTACCCTACACCATGAGATTCATAAAAAGGGATAACTCTAAAATCTTTTGAACACTGAGTGACGAGTAGACACATACCGATTAGAGGTTACGCCAACCTATTGCTAAATACTGTGTTCAACCTATCGATTACACAATTTAAATTAGACAAACTTGTCTCTTTAGACTGTATATAGCAGACAAATGGACACTATCTCGAAATCCTAAGTACAATCACTCATGCCTGAAACTGTAAAACTGATAGCGCACTTCACGGACGAGTTAATCAATCAGTACCTACTATACTTTTAAGAGAAATGGATCCAAAAAATTATAGCTGATGTCAGTTCAAGATGAAAACCGTACACCTAACCACGAACCAGCACTTTTACAATCCCGTGTTTTTGTAAGTGTCCGAACTTTCGGTTTTAGTGAATTCGTATGTTTTGGAGAAATTTTGGGAAATGGAAAGACAACCCCAAGATTTCCCCAAGTATGGGAAATTTCACTTCGGTTTTGGGAAATCCCCATAAGATTTTGATTTTTCCCCAGTATCACACCAGTATATACCCAAACTTTGAGGATAACTAAGAACGTTTATAAGGCTTTGAGAAACCCAAAATTTACCCAAAATCTTCATGGAATCGGGAGATAGGGTGTTCGTGAATACGGAATATTTATACGCATTGAAACGGGTCTGTGTCTGTTTTCGACGCGAAAATTATGAAGAGCGACACAATTATTCCGAAAATTCCACTACTCTCCACAGAAGTGTCAAACATAAAATCCTATGATTGGTTGATACGGACCTACACTCAACCTGATTGTACCGCAAAAATTAAAGCCCGCGGAGCAAACGACCTTGAGTGCCTGAATTTCAGTCTATTAACCCAGCCGATTAAAAATACTGATATACTGGTTTTCAAGATTGGGCTATATATCGTCGAAAGTGTTCTTTATATTCGTAAAGGCGCAAATTGTACGGAGCAGTTGTTCGAAGCGAAACTGATTTGTCTGCAGAATCTCAGTCGTTGAGTACACATGACAACGTTTCCTGTTTAATTCACTTTTTTCTCCAGGTAATTTCCATTTACTTAAAGTAGAATTAAGATCTGTTAATCTTTCGGCGTTACTTCCCACACTCTTCGCTAGTGTAACTACATATTTCATACATTTAGTGTAACCATTTGTGTTTGCTATGGCATTATCTCCTTGATGGACCGGATTTGCGTCGCGGTTACTTGTGTAGTCCTTTCAACGTTGAAAAAAAAGATTATATGGGCTATAATATGGATTTTTTAATGGACAAGCCATTGTTAGCCAGTAGTATTCGGTATACAGTGCGTATGCATAAGGTAGCCAAAACGTAAATAACATACATATTAATTACAGTCCAGTGCGAATAAGAATTAGGGTGTAAGGTGCAAAAACATCATGACTCATACGCGAAGCATAAAGGAAACTATCTTAAAAATGTAAGTCGCAAAAGTGAAAGGTGGATAGATAGATAGATATGACCCTCGTAACCGAATATGTAGAGGCAAATAAAGTCCCAAAATCGATAGCTCTGTACGTCTTCAAAAATTGAAGTTGACCACATTAGTTTTAATGGATTAATAGTAAGCATACAGAGAAGCCACATGTATGGCAGGCTTCAATTATACTACAAACAATCAAACAATATATGATTTATTTATATGAAGTGTTTTTTCACATAAAACTGGTGGTAAGTTCTGGAATTTCGTATGAACCGCTAATAATAATTGTGCACCGGTAAATAAGTCACCAAAATAAGTAGCTCTGTAAGTCTTCGACATTGGATGCTGACCACATTAGTTTTAATGGACTCACCTAGCTGAAGGCGCTGGATCATGCTATAGCACCAGATCACAAGTGGGGAACGCCGTCCTTAACATCCCCTACAATCGCTAGCCAGATTAGATTAGACGATCCTCGATACATTGATAGCCTATCAAATATATCTTCGAACCTCATCGCTTCTGTCTTTTGATTTCACTTGGTGGGTACGATTCATGTTAGGTGTTACTAGTTAAAACGCTGTCAAACTCCACATATCTGTGGCACCTTAAATTGGTTTAACGTGAGCGCAGACGTTAGATTCATAACGCAATCTCAATGTTCTGATTACTCAGCGCATCGCTTATAAAATGATTGTGAAATAAGGTATTGAAAATCATTATAGGTAGTATAGTTACATTACAGGTATTATACTGCACGATATCTCCAGTTAACTAAGTGTTCGTACATTGATAAAATGAGTGCAAAACATGAGAGTGTAG